GAGGAGGAGAAGGAAGACTGTGGGGTCCTTGTTGCTCTCTAAACTTGGTGGTTTTCTTGCAGACGTTTCATCACCCAACTAAGGATCATCATCAGTACTTGAAGGGAGTGGGGTTTACAGAGAAGAGTAGAAGAGGAGGGAAAGGAGAGAAGAGGAGGAAGAGGAGGAGGAAGAGGTGGAGGGGGGAAGGGAAAGGAGGAGGAGAAGAAGGAAGAGGAGGGGGAGGGGGAAGGGAGAGGAGGAAGAGGAGGAAGGCAGGAGAGGAAAGGGAGGATGAGAGGCAGGGTGGAAGGAGGAAGAGGAGGGAATCGCCTGTGGGGTCCTTGGTGCCTTCTGAGCTTGGTGGTTTTCTTGCAGACCTTTCATGACCCAACTAGGGAACATCATCAGTGCTAGAAGGGAGGGAGAGGAGGAGAAGGGAGGGAGAGAGGGAGGGAGGGAGGGAGGAAGGAAGGAAGGAAGGAAGGAAGGAAGGAAGGAAGGAAGGAAGGAAGGAAGGAAGAAAGGACTGTGGGGTCCTTGGTGCTCTCTGAACTTGGCTGTTTTCTTGCAGACCTTTCATGACCCAACTAGGGAACGTCATCAGTGCTGGGAGGGCAGTGGGCTTTGTATTAAAACATCGGCAAGAAAACAATGAACCTCAGAGACCGCCTCCAAGGACCCCCTCCCAGGTTGGTCGAATTGGCCCAGGGGCCAAGAAAGAGGCTGTGGGAACGGACTACAGGGGCCTCGTGCATGTGTGTGTGCGCACGCGCGTGTGTGTGTGTTCCCCGTCCTGCACTCACCTTCACCTCCTTTTCCACGTAGTCCTGCAGCAGAATCTGCGGGTCAATGAGGTAGTCTGGCGGGTACAGCGGCACCGAGTGGAGGGGCCTCCTCCGGCAGACGCTCCCCTTGGGCGCTGGCTTGCGGGAGGCTTTGGGGAAGACCAGGCGCTTGATGGGCGACACGAATCCCTGCAACGGGCAAAGGGGAGGGAAGGGGTGTGTGTGTGTGTCTGTGTGTGTGTTTGTGTGTCACTGAGCGGCTATCCGCGCCTCCCCTCCCCTCCCGGGCACCGCTAGGCGGTGGGTGGCAGAGCCTGGATGGCAGCCGGGCGGGCAGCTTGCAAGAGAGCGAGAAGGGGCCCCAGCAGACGGCGAGGGCTGCAGATGGCTGGGCCCACTCGCTTCACGGCTGTGCCAAGGAAGAGGGTGGGCACAGCAGCTTCCCCTTCAATGCCACCCTGGGTGGGGGGTGGGGGGTTTACACCCGCTGGGGTCCCTGCAAAAGAGAACAGGAAGGACAAAGGGAAGGAAGGAAGGAAGGAAGGAGAAGGAAGGAGAAGGAGAAGGAAAGAAGAGAGACAGGAGGAAGGAAGGAAGGAAGGAAGGAAGGAAGGAAGGAAGGAAGGAAGGAAGGAAGGAAGGAGAAGGAAGGAGGGAGGGAGGAACAAAGGAAGGAAGAGGAAGGAAGGAGAAGGAGAGAAGAGAGACAGGAGGAGGAAGGAAGGAACGAAGGAAGGAGAAGGAAGGAGGGAGGGAGGAACGAAGGAAGGAAGAGGAAGGAAGGAGAAGGAGAGAAGAGAGACAGGAGGAGGAAGGAGGGGAGGAGGAGGAAGAAGAAGAGGAGGAGGAGGAGGAGGAGGAAGAGGAAGAAGAAGAGGAAGAATGGAACAGCTTGCCCTCAGAAATTGGAGTGTAGGGTTGCCTACTTGGGTGGGCTGGGGGTTGGACTAGATGACGTACAAGGTCCCTTCCAACTCTGATTATCTGCTATCTAGAAGAAGAAGGGGGGTGGAGAAGAAAAAAAGAAAGAAAGAGAGAGAGAGAGAAAGAAAGAAAGAAAGAAAGAAAGAAAGAAAGAAAGAAAGAAAGAAAGAAAGAAAGAAAGAAAGAAAGAAAGAAAGAAAGAAGAGAGCAAGGGAGTTAGGGAGGTGAGATGGATGGAAGGAAGGAAAGGAAGGAAAGGAAGGAAGGAAGGAAGGAAAGAGGGAGGAAGAAAGAAAGAGAAATAAAGGGGAGAGAGGAAGGAAGTTGGGGAGGAGGGAAGGAAGGAAGGAGGGAGAGATGGAAGAAGGGGTTAGGAAGACGAGA